ACCCACACCCACCCACACCCACATCCCACCCACACCCTCCACACCCACACCCACCCACACCCACATCCAACCCACACCCTCCACACCCACACCCACCCTTGAAAATTGAAAGTTGAAACTTGAAAGTTGAAATTTCAATTGAATTCAAGTTTCAAGTTTGACACTACTGCGACTATGAAAAATACGAGAAAAAAAGAAACGAAAAAAAGAAGAATCAGAAAATATATTTTCTACACTGAATCTTGGCAATGATATTGTAGAATTGAAAATAAAATAATTCAAGTCACACATACATTGTTGTATGATTTTACTACCGTTGTTACAGCATATACAAACAAAAATAATTATGAGTAAAGTAATATGATTGGTTAATATTTATACATAATCAGTTCCTTGTCCGTTCATATGGTGCCAGTGTACTAAATTTATTGATATGAATTTAGAGAGTACTCGTTTAACTGTAATATAGATCGTAGAGTGATGCGATTAACTGAAAGATTATTTTGCATCGAAAGAGTATGGAAATGTTTCATAATTGTAAGATTAATTGTTTGACGCCAAGCTTTTTTATACGAAAGAAATTAGATGTCTACTCTATCAAGAACCATTATCGAAAACGTTTTAGAATGTGATAAACTTTGAAATAATCAATTATACATATATGCTAACGTACAGGTATTGAAATGTATAATAAAACATCAAGGGAAAATCTATTATGTTATGTTGGAAACTACTAAATACACCATGTGTGAATATTTCCGACCACTGTTGGAGTTAAAACTGTTTTTTAAAAAGTAAAAAGTTGAAAAAGTTAAAATGGTTATAACTTGAGTTATAACTATCAACCATAAACTATCTTAAGTTTTCGACTTTTTCAGTCGATTTTATTGATTTGAAATTATTCAGCACGTTCTATCACATCAAAAGTAAGTCTATCAAATAAAAATTAAATCTCAACCTGTTTCTAAGTGATAATAGAAATTTTTGAATCAATTGAATAATGGTACTCAATTACATAGTATCCCTATCTACGTTGATCGCCATCTTATTTTTGTATTTTTTGCTGGTCTGATGTATCTGTGAAAATAAAAGTCATGATATTTTTAAAAAATCGGTTATCTTTTCATCAAGAATGAATTAGAATGATACTAATGAATGAGGCAGAAATAATGGCTGCGTTTTGCATATCAATTTTGAGCCATTTCATACGATGCATTAAGAAAACAAATTATACCGAAAGACACAGCATCCAATGATCTACAATTTGCATCAATCAGCCATTTTTCTAGTTGTCCTTTTGACTTTCAAAAAAGTCAAAATTTTTAGCAATTAGATACTGATCGTACGAAAACGATATTCTTTTACTTATAAAAAGAATATGTTGTTTTTCCTTATTTCATCTTTTTATCGTCTCAAATCGTTGACATAAAAAGAACGATATACCAGTAGACGCAGCGTGAAAAGCTTTATAATTGACATAAGAGATTTTTTCTTGTAGTCGCACTTTTTGTTTTCAAAAGCGGCCAAACTCGAAGTAACTCAATTATGATGCTGCGAGAAATATATTTTTTGGTACATGACAAGTTCGTTTTTCCCATTTCCTCTTTTGCGAGATTTTGAAAACAAAAGGTGCAACTGTAAGAAAAGCTATACCATAAAAATTGTCGAGTTTTGCATATTGCATCGTTTGGCATAACTTTTTTTCTTGTTTAGACCTAGTACTAAGTGACTCAAAAGTGATATAAAAAATGCGGTCGTTATTTCTATTCAATTACAATGTGATTTTTAGCCGATAATTCTGAATTTTTTTCATCAATACAATTTTTTAGATTTTCGTAATTAATTAAAAACATTTGCCAATTTTTAATATTTAGAAGTTACAAATGAATTTTAAACAATTAGAAAAAATTAAGACAGAGTCTAATATCAGATTATAATCGGATACAAATAGCATAGTTTTTATCAAATTGAAACGGATTTATAATCGGTTTTTTGTGTGAATAATATTTTTTTGAAGTTATTTGAAAAAAGATATCTGTAATAAGCATAAAAACAATCAAAATTTTTCATTAGGCTATCGACCCATCCAATAGTCGGGTTCAATTCATATGTTCTCAGGGCATCCTGCCATGTTCGGTCCTGCCTTGAGAACTGATCACAGTAAATTAAAGAGTATCTTGTGACGATTTCTGATAAGTATTATGTGAATATGGAGAAAAACTATTCACGTCACTTACACTCGACACACAATCGCATCTTATTCTCATTTACGCAATTCATTCGAGTCATATTTTTAGTATAATTAATGATCATAATGTACTGATATTTAATAAATAGTAGTGGTTCACATTTGTAAGATCATATTTCACTCAAGTTTTTTAACATTTTACTGATATAAATAGTTAAGAGTATTAACCGAGAATGAAATAAATCTGTACGATTAACTTTTAGACTTGCACTCGAGATACAAGCGAGTAGAATTCTCTTATAGAATAATGGACGAGTTTGAGTTTTATTTTGAAAGCAACATTTTTGAAGATATTAATCAATGTAATAACTATAACTGCTGAGTTTATTTTGTTAAATATCATATTATTAAAATACAAATGAATAAATATATAAAGAAAACGAAATAGTTAAGTCTTGTATATATTGATTTTTATTCTTATTACCATTTTAACTCAATCCACATGCTTTATAACATGATTGAACACCTCTGGCTGGTGTTTTCGGAAAGTTATTTCGTAATTGTAATATTTGATTTTGTGGTATGTTTCCAAAGCTGGCGGCTAATATATCTAAAGGTAATGCTTTAATGCCTTCTGTTAATTGTGCAGTACCAGGATCTTCAGAATTAAATGCAGCAACAACAATAGCTTCATCACAACCAATATTTTGTTCAAAATGTAATGCTCCTGGTGGAAATGTAGTACCTTGACCAGCTGTTAATGTAACAGCATGAAAGTTACCGGTATTTTCACTCCATGAACCAGTTCGAATAGTTCCTTTAGCAACATAAGAAATAGTTGATGCACGTGGATGAATATGTGGTAAATTTAAAGCACATGGTTTTAAATAAACAACAACCATAGAAATACCATGATTAATTAATGCAGGCCAATTTCGAGCCTAAATAACAACATTATGAAAAATTTTACAATAGATATAAACTTACAGTTGCTGCAGCAGTTAATCCTCCATCACCATATGTAAATCCGACACCAGCGCCATTTGCGTAAGTAAATATAAAATCTTTATTATTTGGTGCATCGTTCTCTAGTTTAGCTTGCAAACATAATTCACTTACAGAACTCTTTACACTTTCAAAAAAATTTTGACGTGGTGTACATCGTTGATCATTTAATGCATTGATCGTAAGTGGAATTGAAACAATGATGCAAAATAGAATAATATTGATACTGTATCGAAACATGGTTTCCGTTTTATTTTATTAAATGTAATATGCTTTGTAGTTCACTTCGGAGTCTTATATAATAATTATGAATATTTCAGCTCATTCTATGCAGGTTTTATATAGTAAGAGAAACGTTCGTAAAGAACAACCAAAGTGCAATTATGAATAGCATGCACGTTGTTATGGGATTTTACTCATACTATTCGGTCGCCAAATAGGACATGACTCTATAGACACGTGTCTAAGCAAAATGTCTCAAAATAGAAACATGCACACAATAAATGTTTTAAACTATTGTCACTTGTTGTATGTATTGCTGATATAAAAATATAATAGATTTTACGCAATTCAAATAAGGTAAAAATATCGTTCGTTGTACATCAGTCAGAAAGTGCAACTTATTGACAATGCACTGTCATCAATGCGTCTAATGTTTTATTTTTATCGCGAGCTACAGTGTGTGATGAGTAAAATAAGTATTAGTTTTTTTTATTCACATATTTGTAATAGAATTACGCTTTTACTACTATAAGCAGTATATCGAATTTCAACATATCATATTCCAAAACAGAACGAAGTTTTCTTCTGAAATACTAATACCGGCCTATTCAAGTGAATAATAGTTAAATCATTATGATAGAATGAGTTGTATTATTAGTAAATTCTTATCATTGCTTTGTTTTGTTTTTTTCTACAACTTACGTCCATAATTAAACTTTATTTAGAAAAAACCACAGTCTGTCTTGAAGATCTAGAGAGAGTTATATGTTTAGACACAAGTCTATTCAATTAGTCATGAAAAAGAGAAATGCATTAAAGAATATTATCGACATAAGAATTTACTTCTAAGACTAATATTTATTTAACTATTCATATTGAGTTACTGTAACAGAATTGTTCTCGATACCGAATAAACATAGAATATGAATTCTATTAAACAGTTTCAAGAAGTTTTTCAACTTTTCAAAAAAAAATAAATCTCACTTGAAAAACAACTTCTGTAATGAATCTATTACTTGAAAATTAATCGACATCTTTATCACCATATATTAATAATATGGTTTTATTTGTTTTAATTTACAGTCAACTAAAATATTAGTCAAAGGACATTTTTCTAAAATGAATTGCCATAAAATCTTAAATTATTATATTTCACAAAAAAGATTCAGTGAATAAATCAGATTTGATGGTAATCTGACAATCTATGCGAGAAATTCTTGAAGACTTGTTGAATCAAGAGATAAATTTAGTTGACTTTGTACAATAGTGTTGTCAATCATCATTTTTTTAGTCCTCATTTTTAATTATTATTTCTATTTCAGTATTTATTTTCAATATTACATTTCAGTCATAAGTCACTTTACACTTTGTTCGAAAGACGAAGTTTGTGAAATACAATTTGAAAAACTGATAAGAACTTTCATTGGCAATATATTGAAAAAAAGATTTTTTAAACAATGTTTAAATCTTGATCGATTAAATAGAAACTGTATCTATTTATTCAAGCAAGATTAATATTGTTTCTTTTTTTTCATTTTTCAATACTCTATAAAACTTGATTTTTGTACATTTTGATATGTGTTGCTTGTAGAAAAAAAAGTACTATTTTAGATTTTCAGTCGAAACACTATCTCTACCTCTAAAGGTTCGATTTTTCTGGAACAAACTTCTTATAGATAAGTATTCGATCATGTAATCTAAAAAGTCTAACTTAATATCTATTGTAACAGTATCTTACAAATTACTTAAAAGAAATTCTTATTTGAACGATTTTTTCGCTAAAATCTTCATAGAAATTGCGATCCGTGAGTTAGTTCGAGAATCATAAAAATATCACCAAAGATCAATCGTTTTTCTTTAACTTATGTCAAGCGTTTCTTTATTTTGAAACATAACTATAGGTATAAAATTGACAAAAGATATTATAAAAACAGATGCAAGCGCAGTCACTTTATCCGCGTATTTATCATCATGAGATGTATCGATTTACCAAAATAAGTATTTTTCATTGACATGTCATTTATTTATGCTTTTTACTGATGCTAAAAAATATATCAATAAAAAATAAAAATACATTTTTCTCAGAATTGATTTTTTGCTAAAATAATCAAATTGCTAAAAAAATTTTTTTTTCGATCCTCTTTTATTCGACAGATACACGAATATTTCTTTTGATGAAAAAAGATTCTTTTATTCAATTATTATTACAGAATGTAGATTTTTATACAATATCATGATAAAATTTTCAAGTTTGGAGGATTTCAAAAATAAAAGAAGTTAAAAATGAAAAAGTCTTACTCTCATCCAATGTAACCAATTGTTTTTTTTTAATTGATAGTAGATTGTAGATATTCATCTCGGTGAGAATGGAGATTCCAGTTACTGAAAAGAATGTCTATACTGACATCTAACTGAACGTAGTTTTTATTATTTATTAATGATTATCAGTCGACCTGAATTTTTCCGTTTTTGAAATACAAACTTGTTTATGAAGGGTATGGATATAAATGTTAATAAAAAGAACTTAATTTATTACTACACTCACGTCAGCAACAATCAACTTATCTTGATACTGAACTAACTAAGTATTTCTAAAACGACTATTAGAAATCTGAACACTTTTAAAACTAGATTGTCTCAGAAAATTGAGATAATTAAAGAAAACATAACGCTGGCATAATGCATTTTTAAAAATAGGGAACATATTAATTTTTTATATTTCAATGAAAGGTTGTACGTTTGACCAGTAATTTTGAAACTTGTTCAGACTTCGGCGAGATGATCTGATTCTATTATTTAATATCATAGAATGTTACAAAAGATTACAGAATTGCTTGGCATATGTCATCTTTTGTGTTAAAATCCTAAATATCAATCAATCTGCAAAACTCAATTTTGGAATTCAACAAAAACTTAATAATCAATTCGATTGGAACAATCATAAATGAGTAAAACTATTAAAAATCATAGATAGGACGGTGAATTCTTAATAATAATAAAACAATGTCATGTTTTAAAAGACAAAGAAAAGAATAAGTATATTTCTAATTTTGTGGCATTGAAAATTTTATCAATGACTATCGCACCATACAGAATGTTTCATAAATTTTCAGGTACCATAAGATTAGTCTATATGCAGATATAGAATAATTTCTGATTGAATGTAATTCATATATATGTTTTCAATACTCCTGATAATCTTTCAAATAATATACAAATCAATAACATCTCTTATAATAATAGAAACACGAACATGAAAATATCATGATAAATTTTTCGAAATGAAGCAGCAATAAAAAAAATTGTATGATAAAAAATAAGTGATAAATTATTAATGATATTTTTCATACTTTTTCATGACATAAAAGGTTGAGATTCTTCTTACATGTACATCAAATCAAAATCTTTAATCGAAACATTCTTCATATTTCGCCGATTTTGAACACTTATCATTGTACTCTTATGTTTGTATTTTGATTATTGTAAAAGAAAGTATCACTAATTTTTATGTCATCAGAAAGGCTGTTAGAAGTACTAAAAACTCATAAAATAAATTTAATTAGAGATTATTCTCTGTTTGTAGATTGACTTATTTTATTTGAGTTCATATTTTTTATTAAGAATGAATTATTAAAGAAGAGAAATAATGATGTATATTGTTTCTTAACTATACACGTTATACAAACAATTTTTATTTATTTGATTGAAAATGTAAATATTTATTTCAATTGAAATATAATTTATAATAACTTTTTAATATATTATATTTAGAATAAAGGTACATATTCGATGTCATTTCAAATAGTCAGTTATTTTTGTTAAAAAAATGTCTATATATAACAATTTATCTTATCATTTAAGCAAGAAGAATATCATTCTCTTTCAGTTCTCACAAAAATTCTATTCTGTCTTCATACTATGATAAAAGTCACCCTAGTAGTTGGCTTTTTATATCTTACTGCTCTTATTAATAGTAAACCGATTGTTCCAATTAAAGATTATATTGTGAAAAGAAAAGTAATATATACATCGGTAAATCTGTTCAATCATTAAATATATGTTTTTCCTCAATTAATTTTTCTTTCATATAGGATGCACCAGCACCTGTAGCACCATTTAATCAAGGTATTCAAATAAATTATATGTTATATCTCTCTGGACAAATTGGAATTGATCCAAAAACTGGTCATATGATATTAGATGATATTCGTAATCAAACATATCAAGTATTAAAAAACTTAGAAGCGGTTCTAAATGCAACTGGATCGTCAGTTGATCAGTTAGCTCATTGTCTTATCATGCTAACAAATATTGAAGAAGATTATGATATAGTTAATCAAAGGACACCGCCGGGTATGAAGCTAAATTTGCCCCCCCCCCTAAGAGGGGTCGAAACATGTCTAGAAAGAAAGCCCGTGAAATTTTACATAGTTCTATGTATTTTTTTCTTCCATTTTCTTTTTCGAAGTCGGGGGGAAAATCCCCATCTTGTTTCAAGAATATTTTCATTTTCGACAAATATAGCCTTATCATATTTATTATAAAACATTCGTATCGGTTCATCGTTTTCTAAAGTATTATATATCAAAAGATTCAGCAAACATTTCTCTATAAAACCATTATAAATGATCCACAGTTCACTCTGATAAAGGGTAAAAAACGTGTATGAATACAAAAGGGGTATTATAATTTTTTCAAAATTTTGAAAAAAATAGTTTCAATGTAACTCACCGTTCTCCCTTATAATACCAGTGACAAGATTCATACTTTCCCAGAAATTACTCGTTGGAATTCTCTACAAAATGAGCTAATTTGTATTCAAAAAAAAATGGTCCAAAGGGTCCAACCGCCATGTACACTTTTGTCACTGTCATATTTCGATAAATTCAATACACTTTTTTATGGAGATTTTTTTAAGAAATATGTAAGATAATGATGTATTATAACCAAATAAGCAATTTCGTCATCACCAGTCTTCAAATTACATCGTTTGGAGTGGATTTTATTAGTGTTGTGACCTACATTTCGTATTCAATAACCAATTAGATCATATGAATCAATAGACACATATCATGTTGCTTCGTGAATTTCTTACAATTTACTATTTCTCTTGTTGAACGTTTATATAATGATAACTGCTTTTAAAACTAGGTATAGATGTGCCTATATACAAATCTGAAATAACTAAATGAGCATTTCTATATGTTTACAAAAACTTCAAGGATAGTTATATAATGAAAAATTATGATTAGTTTATTTATAATGCTGAAATTATTGTCTTGATAAAGATTGTGTCATTTTCTGTAAAAAACTTTGAATTTTTGTTGCGAATCAAAAGAATAATTTATTTTTGTGTTCGAATAAATAATGATATATAATATCCATTACAAAATTGAATATTCCTAAATTATTTCTCTTTTTGTGTAGGCCCTTTTGGCACAATGGTTGATCAAATGATGGGTGGAAATCCAAATCCATTCCCTGGCCAATTGAATCGCGGCTATGGTGGTGGTTATGGTGGTGGATATGGCGGTGGATATGGTGGTGGATATGGTGGTGGATATGGTGGTGGATTCGGTGGTGGATATGGTGGTGGATATGGCTATTCATATAGATGTTAGTAGCATTGCATAAAAACGAACTGTTTTTTTTTCTAAACATAAAATATCTATGAACCAAGAAATTAGATACTCATTTTTCTTTTTTTGGTGATTATAATAAATGCATTTTTCATTAAAATTAGTGTTTGCTCAACTAGTACTGATGGTTTGAAAATAATATCATTCTAATTCTAAAAGTAGATTCTGAATAGAAATATATTTTTTCAAATAAGAAAACAGGCTGACCTATCTATGTTGAAAAAGAGATAAAGTCAATCTGCTCTGCTCAACTCTTGCTTTTCAGCAATCAATTGTTTTGTCGAAGTTAAATGAATATGTTAAAATAATAAGTTATTGTGCTTTGTATAAAAAAGTCATTAAATAAATGCAGAGTTTAATTTGCCGACGCGTTTCGTGTTATTTATTGATATAATGAAAACACTCATCAGGGCTC